GAGAGGGGACATCCCCCTCAGTACAGGGGGATGCCTGGGGTTGGTGTCAGCCCCAGAATTGCCCTTTCTTAGGGGAGAGGTGGAGCTGCCCCCACCTGCCTGCAGCAAAGTTCCCAGGAGCAATCGTCACCCTCAGCTCCTCCATGTTCCCAAAGGCACAAGAAGGCTTTGGGTACCTGGCTTCACCAGCACCTCTAGGGAGCCAGCAGCTGCTGCAGGTTCTCCAGCAAACCCTCAGCCTGCTGGTCCCACAGCCCAGCAGCAGACATCACCACCATCACCACCTCCTGTCCACCTCTCTGCCCAACACCCATAATCAGCTGGCAGCTGATGAAGAGGAGGGTGACTTGCTCCCCTGGGGGGGTCCCTGCTCCTTTCCCAGGGCACACTGACCACTGTGGGGATGAGCATCGCAACCAGAGCTTGGGACATGACTGTGGAGCAGCAGCACACCTCCCACAGCTCCATCAGCAGAGACCAGGGAGAGCCTGCAGCCTTCCCTGGTGAAATAGCCCTGCTCCGTCCCTGTCCTGCTGGGTTTGTTCCCCCACAGAACCCAAAAGCAGAAGCCAGTAACCCCTCATCCAGCTGTAACTCTGTCCCCACCATCAGGAAAAGATCAGAGACCCCTCTGAGGAACCACTTCATCTCCCTTTTTATAACCCATCAGCCCTACAGTGGGCAGCAGCCAGTAACCCTTCACCCACCAGGTCACCTCCGCTGCATGTGGCATCTCGCTGTGCTTCTGGGCACATCCAGATCCTGGAAAACAAGCCCAGTGGTGCCCTATTCCCACTGTTAAAACTTCCCTGGTGAGATAACGTGCACAGCTAAAATGCTGTTAACGCACGTAGGCAGCACTAAATCCCAGCCACCCGTGGTCAGGACGATAACACGCTCAACCGAGGTGGGGGGTCCCGACCTGGCCTTTCTTTGGGGCTCCCCCAACGTGCTCAGCTCCTCCTGCTGCCAGCCACGAGCCACCAACAGGCCCCAGCCCTGTCCCTGCTCTGCCAGCGCTCCTGCCGCTGCCGCGCCTCCGTCCCTTTGAAGAAGTTGCTTAGAAATTCAGCAGCAATTATGCAAGCTTTAGTATTAAAAAATGCACGTAGATCTGAAAGCAAATATGAAGCTGCTGCTGTAACGCTAGCTTTAAGCTGTCTACAGTCCCTAGAAATTCTCAGTGGGATGTTTGAGAAGGATGTATATGTGTTGACAACATTAAATGATCCATGGCTCAAGGACAGAATTGAAACCATACATCTACTTCATACAGGCGCTGATCACTGGCAGAGTGTTTTTCTTAAACTAACCACGGAAGGGCAGGCACCTCGTCCTCCCCAGAAAGGCAGGGACGGCTCGGGGAACAGAAGGTGCACACACGCTCGCACCACGTCCTGGCGTGTAACAGAGCTCCAGTGAGAAAGGAGAGACACATGGACGCCATCAGCAGGAGAAATGTTCTCGTGGCTGCACCATCTTGGAGGGAAATTGAGCATGTCACCCCGGCGCATCACCCTCTTCTCAGCACCTCCCAGCGAGGCAGCGCTGCTCGCACACGTCCGTGCAACATCTGGAGAGAGGATGAGGAGGGGTGGGGTGCTGTGATCCAGCCTGGAGATTTTCTGAGGCAAAAAAAAGATGTTTATTCTGCCTTCTACACCCTGGAGCACAGCCTCGGATGTCCACGAGGCTCGGTGCTGGCCGTGGCACCGCAGCGAGCTGCAGGAGCCACCAGCAGCCTTGCTCTCGGAGCTGCCTATGGAAAGCTGCAGCCTTCTCTGCACATGAAATTCCCAAGGACAAGGAGAAGCTGGCAGACAACATGGAGGATTAGGTAGTTCCCCAAGGAACACGAGAAACACTGCAGGAGATTGTATCGCTGCCCATTTCGGTGGGGCGATTAGGCAGTAGTTGATGCTGGGAGAACGATTTCTGCTAGCAGGACATTTTGCAGATATTAGCCCTGCTATTAGCCGTGGGAAGCCAGTTTCCCTGGATGAACCAAGGGCAGGCTCCTTGAGCCTGCAACCTCCTTACCCCCAAACCCAGCCCCTCCGTGGCCAGCACTCCTCCCCGGGGAGGCTCTCTCCTCACTGTCCCCAAAAAGGCCGGTGGCTGATGCCCTCTGGCTCACGATGTTTGCTGCTCTGCAGCACGCTGCTGCCAGCTGCTTCAGGGAAACCCAGCTCTGCTGCTGCTCCAGCTTCATCCCCAGCTTAGGTGCTGGTTTCCATCATTTCAGCCATTACCAAACTACAGGATATTTCTTTTCTCCCTCGTTTACGCTGAATGTTTATTTAATACGCTGGCCAGCTTCAATTAGGTCTGTGATTACTCACAGGTGACAGCTCCGGCATGACAATGTTTACTCCCAAACTGTATCCCCGGTTTGTAGCTTGTGATATATTTAAGGAGAAGTTACAAAACCATTAATTGTGAACTATCTCTACCCATGGGAGTAAAGTTTCTTTTTAAACCCAAGTGGCTATCAACTGGGTAAAAATGTACTAGGGTTACCAACTCCTCTAACCTAGAGATTGAGTTTCCCCCAGGAAAGACTTGTTTGGTTGAGTTCTCCAGGCCTCTTTGCTTTTTCACTGATTTCTGGAACTCCCTTTCCTTGGCCCAGAGCTACAGCCCTTGAAAAGACAGAGGAGAGGTGGCTCCTCAGCAGCAGGACGACAGCTCTCCCCATCCCACCACCCAAGGCGGGCTGGACCAAGGGTCCCAAGGAGAGCATCCTGCCCTTCTCAGAGTCCCCTGTAGCGGACACAGCTTGGAAAAGGCTTGTCCAGCTCCTGCCCAGGACACAGCCTGGCCCTGGGGGAAGCCTCCAGTCCATGAGCTGGGTCTTGCTGCCACCCAGGAGGGAGCATTGAAAGTGAAGGTTTAGGAGGGAGAGGAAACTTCCTGGTTTAATTCACTGAACTCTTTTGTTTCAGCCACATTTAATATCCCAGAAATTACGAGGCGCGGGGACCCGGGTGAGCTGAAGGAGAAGGCGTGATCTGTGAGGCCAATTAAGAGGCCGGTGGCACATAGTGAAACGGGAGCCCCTCGGGGGAGGCCAAGGTTACATAAATAAGCGTGCGAAGGAGCTGCACTGAATCTGCAGACACTCAGCCACTGGTGATGCCCCTCCGAGTCCGGGAAAATTAAATATAAATAATAAATGTTTAACCACACAGCAAATAAATACAATGAGGCACCTTTAAAAATTATACTAATAAACAGCGAGCTGCTGTCCTGCTGCCCAGGGTGGCTGAGCATCCTCCGCCTATGAGAGACAAAGAGCACAATGGAGGAGGGTGTCTGGGGTGGGGGCTCTGCTCAGCCAGGTTGTTTTCACCCCTGTTCCACCATCCTAGCAATGAGCCCCAGGACAACGTGGAACAAAACACCCAGGGAGGCTGGAAATGGTACAAAGCTCATGAAAGGGATGCCGGGTCCTCCTGGGCTTGGCTGGACCCATCTCACCTCTGTCCTCAAGGTCCCAGCAGGTTTCTTCTGGGCACCTGGGAGCAGGGTCAGGGCTCTCATCCGGGAGGAGAAGCTCAAAAACCTCCTTGTGACAATACAAATGGCCAAGGCGAGCCACCAAGTCCCCAGAATTGCTCTGTGCCAGCACTCACTTTACAATAAGAGCTCTGCCTCTTACCTTTCCTGTTTTACTGCTTCCTGGGAAGACGGAGGAAATAAATGAAATGGAGATATAAAACATAAAGGGGTCATTTATAGTTAAGCACATTAAGAAGGGAACAAGAGAATAAAGCGGCGAGAATGGCTCAGCTGGGGGCCGGGAGGGACTCGTTTCCTCGCACTGGCACAGCCCTTACCAGGTCGCTTGGACCTTTTGTGCCCTGCTGCAGCGCTCAGTGCTGGGCTGAGCACCATGAGCACGCCCCAGGGTGCTGCCTGTAAGCCCCTAGCTGTCCCTAAACCCCGGCTGCTCCCGCTTCTGCTGGGGGTTATGGTTTGTAGGTGGCTTTTGTAGATGGCCAGAGCGAGCAGACCACAGCATCAGGGCAGGGAGCATCTTGACCCTTCTCACAGCACAGGCTCTGCGTAGCGATATAGCGAGGGGTTTGTCAGTCTCACCACACTGCTAATTAAATGCCGATCAAGTCCCTTCCCTATGATGTAATTTCATTTCTCCCCCAAATTCTGCAGGGAAGGAACAGGACAAAAGGCCTTCCTTGCTGTGATTATACATTCCCGGGCAGTTTAATTATATTCTTCAGCTTCTTAAACACCGGCACAATCAGCCCATGGAGAGCTGCCGTCCCACCACACTTACCAGCTGCTTTTCCTCCCAGCACATGGGATTTGGCTCCACATTTTCTGAAGCTCATTGGGGCCAAGCTGCCCATGGGGCTCAGCTTGGCTTGTGCCGGAGCTGGATTTGTCCCTGAGGTTTGGTCAGTGCTGTGGCAGGTGATGCTGGTGGTGGATTTTCTTCAGACCCGTGGTCTGGGACCACCTCCAGCTCCTGATGAGCCCTCGTGGCTTCACAGAGACCCACATCTCACCCAGATCAATCAGCTTCAGATGCTCAAGTACCAGCAGCTGCCCACTGCTCTTAGCAAAACTCAGGGCCAGGACATGCCACTGTGCACAGAAACACCCAATTCTGGGGACAAATACAGCACCCAGAGCTCACTGCAGGTTTTGACACAGATACAAACATTCTCCAGCCTTTACATCTTTTCTCCATTTTAACTCATGGCTTCATTAGGCTAATTTGTTTCCAGGTTGGAGGATGAATAATGAGCCCCAGCCTGTGGGTGCATAATTAAGTTTTGATAGCGAATGTTTTTATCTAACCTTGTGTTCATTTTTATCCTCAGCACCTGAATTACATAGTAGAGACTTAGGGCTAAAGTTTTGCCTTCACGTTAGCCCAGTACACACCTGCACGAGATGCAGGGATGCTCCCAGGAGCAGGACAGCACCCAGGGGTGACACCGAGGAGAGAAGTGACACCAGGGGGTGGCCGCCTCATTCAGGTCTAGTCATGAGGGTAACATTAAGGGAAAGAGAAATTATTAACAACAAAATGAATGCCCCTGTCATGGTGGGTATAAACCCCCTACATGGTTCCCAGACCGTGTGGGGTCTGCCCACCAACAAGTCCCAGCGGGGTGGCACATCCCAGTGGCAAAGGTCACCCAGAGCATCGCGGTGAGTCCCACGGTCCTGCCACATTTGCTGGTGCAGTACCCAAACTTTGGGTTTTTTTGGTCCCCTCTGATATAACCAGCTTTGCTTCTATGATTGTGACACATTCCTACAAATCCCTCAGGCTGTCCCATGTTGCCTCATGCCCCATGGGTGCTCCTTTGGCATTACCAGACCATCAAGGTCTCCATGTGGGTCCCCCTGCTCGCCAGCATTCTCCCTCAGCCTTCCCCTTGCTGTTCTTTCCAGCTCTGCAGGGTTTCTGCCAGGCTTTTCCGCTGATCTTTTTGGCCTCTCGCTGCTCCTACCATTGTCACAAGGGTTTTTCCTTAATTCCCTTCTACCGGGGTGGGTTTAGGGCTAAGAAACCAGAGCAAACGCCGATGGCCTGGAGGGAGCCCCATGGGCCGAGGTTGGGAGCGATGCTGGGGCGCAGCGCCAAGGAGCAGGAGTGGGCCGGGCAGGGGCAGGGGCAGGTAGTTAGTGCAGATGTTAATGGCACCATTGTTTATACGGAGGGATCGGAAGGGGTCTCCTGGGTCAGCTGGGGCATTGCCCTTCAGTAACTCAGTCCCTGCTCAAACTGTCCCGAGGGTATTTTTAGTCGATTCATGAAGCCTTTTAGGAATTCGGCCCGGCGACCTCCTTCAGCAAACGATTCTTTTGCCTAATTGCCTTCACTTTCTGCATGCCCTGTTTTAATGCTGCCTTTAAAGTTTCAGGCTTTGTCTTCCTCTGGCACTGGCATCCACAGCTCAGTTTTAGTAGCTGTTTTCCCTATTCCTACTTTTTTATCAGCGCACGGCAAGAGGGACCCCACCAGGAGATGTCTGTGCATGGGCTGGGAAAGGGGGCCAGGCGGGGAGGTGACCCCGAGGCACAGCATCCCCTTTCCCCAAATAAACGCCCAGCAGCAGAGCTGGGGACAGAGCTGCAGGTTACCCCTCAGCATTCCCACCACGCTGAGCAGCTGTTTGGAGGGTCCCTGTTTTCCTTGAAGTCTTCAGCTTTAACTACTATTGAAATAGTGGCAGACGGTGAAGAAAGAGAATTAAGCTGTGATTGTTGTTACCAATTTTTTCTCAATCATTAGTTTTCTTCTATTAAAATCCACTGCTCTGTGCTGTGTCATCACCGCTTTATTATTTGCAACTGAGCCAATTTTGAGCACGTAGCAAGGAATTTTTTTTAGAGACAAGGTAGTGGGAAAGGCAACAAAGACAGGAGTCAAGGGGCAGCTACCAGCACGTGTGCCCCAGTTGAAGAGGCTGCTGTGCCTGCCCTCGCCCTCTCTGCCCTGTCCCTGTCCCTACAGACCTGCCTGCTGCTGGCTTGTGTGGTTGAATTAACCAGGAGGTTAAACACGAAGCTTTTGGTAACCAGACTTGATCCCTTGGGTGTGTGTTATGGTTACAAGGAGGTAACATCCAGTGCGGTGTAGCACAGGGCAGAAGCACTTTGCTAGCACTGGCCTCTCATCAACCTGCTCTGCACCCGTTTTCCTTTCCATCTTCTCCAGTTTGGGCAAAAGAAGAAGGTGGGAGATAGCTCACATCTCCCTGTTCTGTGTGACGTTATTCAGCTGCAAACTTAGCAGACGATTTACCCTGGGAATGTCTTTGTGTGTGCAACTTCTGTGTGAAGAGACAAGGAAGGGGCAATCCTGGAGCCAGGGACCTGAGCTGAAGAACCTCCATGAATCCCTGGGATCATCCAGGCAGAATTTATTTAAAGAAACTGCAGAAGCACAAGCTTTAGAAGACAATTTCTTTTTCCCAGGAATGCTATATTTTAGAGAAAAAAAAAAAATAACTGTAAAATGAAGATGGCCTGATTTGATGAAGTCAGCAGAGCTGTAGGCAGGACGAAGACCATGCTCTCCACAGCAGTCTCCAATTCATCACCAGAGCCAGCTGGTAAATATTTGCTTCTTCTAGTGATCAGCTGAAAGGTTCCCCCATTCCCACAATACTATTATCTTTGCAAATTACTTTTATTCTACTGAAAAGCAAAAAGCTAAATCCAGACTGTTTTTAATTGAAAACAAAGAGAAGAAAAGGAAAAAGGCTTTAAAAATAATAAAGCCATGGGCTGTACTTTAAATAAGTACTTTCTAATTTACCCCTATGTAGTTTCATACTTAAAAAACTCTGATAACAGGGTATTTCTGTGTAATGCTATCTATCCTCTGCTGGGCAAATTGATCCTATCAGAGCCAAGTGGATTCTCAGGGCAGAGGTGAGCAGCTCTTAGCTTTTCTTCCTTCTCCAGCAGAAACTGGAAGCTCCACCATGCCCCACAATACAGCCATGATTTGGG